TAAGATAACAAATGGGATATTATAAAACTGATAATTATAATCACATTACAAATGACTAAATTTTGATCCCTGAAATCTTTGGTAACACCAATGTTCACTTTGTCTGGTTTTGTTGCAGCATGCCCCATATTACACGTAAACAAATCAAGAATTCGTTCTAATATTGAAGTTTATTTTTTTACTACATTTTCTAATGTGACAAAGAGTATTTCATTGATATAGCTATCTAAATACATTTAAGCAACACAAACAGAATGAGCAAATATATTATTCTGCACATAATTAGTATTAGATAGATATTGGAAGATAAAAATTGGGATACTTTTTAAATTTGTGCTATGGAACAATATTAGAAAGAAAATCAATCTATTTATTTAAAAATGTGTAAAATGTGTAAAATGTGTTTTGTCTGCTGTACTTTCAACTTACATAAATATATATTTTAACATTTTGTGAATTTTAAAATATTTTATAACACTAAATAAAGAAGATTCAATTAACCAATTCAAAAATTTAACAAACCCACCTCATAAATTATATCTACAGGAAGATGAACATGTAATATTAATATTCCTTATTAATAAATTATTTGATGAAAATATATGCAAGGCACTATTGGAATTGTTACAAAATTCATGATGATGATAATGTTGAAGTGATATTTCCTACTTTAACAATTATAAATAAGATTATAGTTCAAAAAGAAACCAGTCGTTTTGAAATCGGTGGCCAGAGAGCATCTAGGCAACAATTCCCTGTTCAAAATGCATTTGTCGTAACTGTTCATAAAACACAAGGCATAACTCTACCACATGTAACATTAAATGTTGATGAAAATATGTTTGTTGAAGGTCAAAATATATGTTGCAATGAGTCAAGCACCTTCTTTAGAAAAAATACACGTTTTAGGGTCGACTATTTACAATTAAAGATTTCTAAAACAGTTTTAGAAGAATATAAGAGATTGGAAAAGATCAATTATAATTGATTGGCTTCTTTTATTCTACCAAATTCAAAAAAACAATACTCTGTTAAAATCTTGTTATATTGGTTTGCTAATTTGCCATAAGTAAGTGAACGCATTCAACATTCAAAAAAACAGTATCAAACAAACCATGGTTTTTATAAAGATGTATTCAAAAAACACTCGAAAGTTAAATGTGTATGTATATTATAAAGATTTTTTTTAATGAGAAAAATAAATTTCATCAGTTTAAAAAAATTTCTAAAAAACTAGTAGGAGTGACAGTTTATACAAGGGTAAAAAGAAAATCCTGGTGATTTTCTATAGAATGGAAATATAATTAACAGTAGATGCCCATTGTGGTGAGAGAAAAACACCTGGCTCAAAAAGAGTTTATGCAGCAAACTTTAGAAACAACTCTTCTTGCCGCAGAATCTATAAAAGAATTTAATTCAAGTGCAGATGTTCCATTTGAAAAATAAATAGTTTGCTTCCTTTTTTAAAAAATATCTTAAAGAAATTCCTCAAGCACCCACTGTAAATCAACTGTATCTGCTGCCTACAGTCTTTCAAGAACATTTTGTATCATAATGGATAGTGATGTTAGCCTATAGAAAAACTTTAGTCGGCTTAGCCGGCTAAGAACTTAATAAATCCCAGTTGATGAAAAACCTTTTCAGATGGTACTAAGCTTGCCTGTATTATTATTATTATTACTGCTATCGTTATTATCATCATAATATCTCGCCTTTAATGAGTTCAAATTATTTGTTTTATTCGTTATGAATTTGAGTACTCGAATTACATTGAAAGTTTTATTCGAATAGAACGAATAATAATAATTCGAATTAAAATAAGAATTTGTATAGAAACTCTATGACTTTTATCCTGCTATAATGGATTGTATTTTGCTTTTTGAGCAAATGTATGTTTCTTTGTCATTCTAAGTAATGCAGTTGAACCCATCTCAAGTAAATGTCTATGCCACTGAATTTTGCACCAAATTCCAGACGTAAAAATGAATGTTAAGAGAAATTTTTTTTAACCGGCTAAGTCGATAAATTTCTTAGCAGGCTAACATCACTATAATGGATAGGCTTGGTAATGACTGTGCACGCAGTGTTGTTAACAAGAATATCAAAAATACAAAATTAATCTGTTGAATATTTGGATCGTGTTAACAACACAACTATTGGACAAACACTTTTCCCTTTACTGCATTCATACAATCTATCTCTCTTAGTATCCCTGTTTATTTCTTTCCGACTTAACATCGTATATATGAAAAAATGTTTTAGAGAAGTATTGAAATCTGTTATGCCACAACTGTTTCTAGCACATACAGTATATTAAATTTAATTTGATAAGAAATTTATATTTAGCTTTATTTTTTTAATTGAAGTTTTAAAAACATTCTTTTTTACGTGTTGATTTAATTAGAAAATAAATTTTATAAGCAAATCTTAATTATTAAATAATAAAATAAATCAAATCATATCTTAATTTAAAACTTAAAACAATTCAAATAGTAATTATAAAAAAAAATTGGCAAAAAAGAAATTAAAGATTGTAGTAATAATATTCATAATTTGTTGGGTTGATTGAGTCATTATCGGTTATTCTCATATTTGTTAAATCTTGCGATGAACAATTATTTTCAATGTACATATTCATATTACATAAGCTAGTAGTAGTAGTGTTGTTGTTGACAAGAGGATTAGGCTTGTTAATTATTTCAGTGTAGTCGATGGCGTTGGTTGTATTAGTCGTAGTTGTTGAAGATAAAAAAAAATTATTATTGTCGTTATCATCATTAATATTAATATTGATAATATCGTTGATATCGATATTCACGTCATTGTTAGTATTAATATTAATATTATCATTAATATTAACATTATTATTATCATTAATATTATCATTAATATTATCATTAATATTATCATTAATATTGATATTATCATTAATATTAATATTGATATTATCATTAATATTGATATTATTCTTTTTTTTATCGGAATTAATATTCTCGAATTTGAACTCAACGATTTTGTGCTTAAGCGGCTTTTTTTTATTTTTGTTTGGACGATATGTGTAATGAGGGTAGTTTTTCTCGTGTTTTTTTTTAGCATATTCAGCCAATTTTGAAAAAAAACTTTTTACTTCTTCTGATGCGCTATTCCACTTTAGTTGAATTCCATTAACATCAGATTTACTGATTTTGGTATTTTTTGATTTATATAAAGCCAATTCATTTTTTCTATAAATCAAAAATGAATTGATTGGACGTTTAGGTCTTTCGATAAAATCATCGAGACCTTTTTTCGATTCAGATAATTCTTCAATTGAAAGGTAAAGTGGAGGAACTCTTCGATCCTCTAAGATTTTTTCAAGCAAAAGTTCTTCGTCGACTTGCGAGAAACAACTGGTCATTGACTTAAAATTTGAATTTAGCGACATTTTTTGTTTATTTTTTTTTTGACATTAATAGACGAATGAAGATAAGATAGAGAGAGTAATATATATATATATATATATATAGGAATTGATCGGAATGAGACAAAGTTGAAAGTAAAGCAGCTCTCCATCTTAAATAAATAAATATTTCCATTTTGACCTTTATTGTTAAATTTGATTATAAACAAAAATAGTAAATTTTCCAATTCATATCCTTTAAAAGAGAAGACTTGACTTTCAGCGATTATGGTTGGTTTTAGATTTGAATTAAAGATTGGTATCTGTTTTGTTTATTTACATTTTCCATTGTATTTTTATTTTGGTAATGACTTTCGGTGTTCACGGAACTGGTTATATTAATATGGGGTACAGTGCGGATCAGTGTTGGAAATTGAGTGCGGGTTTGTGTTACATTTAATCCAGCTAATAATTTATTGTGCAGAAAAATCCGTGCAACAAATTATTTATAATAATTCAGGTATACATACTTTCCTTTTTTATCAACGATAAATCATAATTCTATTTTTTTGAATGCAAAAATAAACAAAATACTTTTATTTATTATTGATTTTTTAATAATAAAAATTTTTTTTTTTTTGAATACTGCGAGATCAAAATCCATGTCTCACACAAATCTCTAGATTTTATTTATGATGATATGCCAACAATGTTAATCAAATTTCTTTATACTAAATCGTAATAACATTTTCCATGAATGTATATTTATGCTTTACTCTCATAACTATCTTTTACCATTAAACAATTTCTTATACTAAGAAATACTAAGCAATATCTTCTTTCAATTACCCAAATTCAACAATTATTATCAAAATAACACTCTTTATACTTCTAATGCACATGTAGAAAGAATATTTTCAAAAATGAAGTTGATAAAAAACAAATTGAGAAACAAAGTGGATATTAATACATTGAATAATCATTTAATGATTTTATTAAGTGGACCAGATATTCATAATTTTGATTTTAAAATAGCATATGAACACATTGGGCAAATAAAAATGAAAGAAACACTTGTTAAAAAAAATATTTATTGTTTTTATTTTTATATATGTATAGTAATCACAAAATGTGCGCATTTTTTATGTAACACAAACCCGCACTCGAGTTAAAAAATTTTCCGTGTTACAATGTTTTGAATTACATCTCCAAATTTGGTAATGATTTTCTTTTAAAGACACCTAGTCCCGCAACTTTTTTTATTGGTACTGTAGATTCCTTAGTACTCCAAAAACGGAAATGTAACACCCAAAAAACAAATCTTAGTTTTGAAGCTACTACGGTACGCTTATAGTAACAATTGTTCAGCTTCAAAATACTAAAACAAAAAATTTTTATATCATTTTAAAAAAAATTAACCGAAAAGTTTTTTTGTTCATGACTCGAGCTTCAAAACTTATCTGCTAGTTTTTCTTAAACTAAAAATTGACAGAGCCTTTGGCATTTTGAAAATTCCAATTTCGTGTAACAATTTTTACAACATATATTGATTTATTTGTATTATTTATTTCCTTTTTTTTATTAATAATAAAAGTTCTTTACAATAAAAAAAGTTTAACGAACATATTACATGCTACTATATACACTCTTTGTATTTATCTTCATTTATATTAATAAAAATGCATAAAAATAAAATTTCAATTATTATTACTATTTTGGATACAAGCAAATGATTTTTATTATTATATGTTGTGTAACTCAAGTGTGCATGATTGTTTTTTTTGTAAAAAAGATGAAATTAGAAACAATTGGAATCGCGTCTACATTTTCATGAAATTAATCCTTCCAATTACATTATCATCATTTCCGCGAAAAAAATTGTTTTCAACCACTACGATGATAAAACCGAAAGGAATCGTTGCTGTCATAGGTACGACAGGAGTTGGTAAATCCAATTTAGGTGTTCAATTAGGAAAGGCGATAAATGGTGAAGTTGTTAATGTTGACTCAATGCAGGTCAATCAATACCTGTCCATAATTGGATGAATTTATTTGCGATCATCGACAATAAATAAATTAAACAATAATTGATGATTTATAGGTATACAAAGGATTAGACATTATAACAAATAAGATTTCAGTTGAGGAACGTGAAGGAGTTCCACATCATCTGATGGATTTCTTAGAAACACATCAAGAATACAGGGTCACACAATTTATTAAAGATGCATTACGTGTTGTATCCATTGAATCAATGGAAATCAAATCATAAAATCATAATATTCTATCTATCCTTAATTTATTCTACTGCTTTATTTTTGTTTTAAAAGATCAAAGAAATTCATGATCGTGATAAAGTACCAATACTGGTTGGAGGAACACATTATTACTTGCAAAATTTGATTTGGAGAAACTCACTTATTACTACCACAAATGATGTTTATGATGATGATGGTGATGGTGATGATGGTGATGGCAACAATTGTTATTATGATAATGGAAATGATGAGGTGGATGATGAATTGAATGAATCAGATGAAAAGATTCCAAGTAGTCAAGATCCACAATCAATATATAAACAGTTACAAGTTGTTGATCCTATAATGGCAAATAAATGGCATTGGAAGGATACAAGAAGAGTTTATAGGAGTTTGAAGGTGAGAGAAACTGGGCAGTAGTAATATTGAATGTTGGAGATGGTGATGGTAGTCATTTAATAATTACTTGTTAATGACTTTTGATTAGGTTTATTTGGAAACAGGTAAACCACACAGTCAATGGATTAAAGAACAAAATTTGCAGGATCAGAAAATAAAATCTTTAAGGTGGAGTTTGAATTGATTTATTTTTAGATAATAAATAATTCCAAGAAAATAAAAACCACATTAAATGTAAAATTTTTGCTGGGTAGATTTCCTAGGACATGTATTTTCTGGTTATATGCTGACAACAAAGTACTCGATCCTAGACTAGATTCCAGAGTTGATAAAATGATCCAAGTAATCTATTACATGTGATATTTTATATCATATAATACCATGCCATATTAATATATTTACTGAACAAACAGAATGGACTTTTTGAAGAAATCAAGTTTCTTAGAAATTTGATAAAGAATGGAGAAATACATGCACTTTTAAGAAATAATAAAGTTGATTATACTAGAGGAATTTGGCAAGCTATTGGTAAACAAAAATCTATGGTAACATCTTTTATGCTATCACTATTAATTAATAAGTAATATTCTTTAAATAATAGGATACAAAGAATTTGATAATTATTTAAGTATGTTGGAGTCAAATACACAAAATGAAAAAAATTTGGAAGAATCAAAGAGATCAGGAACAGAATTGATGAAAATAGCTACTCGTCAATATGCTAGAAGACAAGTTCGTTGGATCAAAAATCAATTATTAAGAAAGTGTCAACAACAACAACAACAACAACAACAACAACAACAACAACAACAACAAAAACAAAAATCTTTTATCAACAATAACAGTGGAGATTTGGTATCATCATCATCAATATGTAGATTATATTTACTAGATGCAACTAGTAATGATTAATAAAAATTTTTAATTGTTATTTCCCTTGTTATTATTTTGAAAATTAAATAATTATTAATTGATATCTTTTCATTTAAAAAAAAAAAAAAAGATTTAGAAAATTGGAATCAAAATGTTCGTGATATAGCCATTAAAACAACCAAGGGTAATTATCAAACAACATTTCACTATTTAATGTAAGTAGATATATTCTAAAATTGATTGATCACAAAACAGAGTTTTTGGAGACGGGAATAGGACCTGATCCAACTACAATAAACGATTTTGCAAACAAAATGCTAAGTTCAAATTATAATCAAGAAGAGTAATTAAACATCCATTTTCTTTTTTTTTTAATAATATTTTTTTTCTTGTAAATTATAATAATAATAATAATCACTCCTCCCCAAATTCTATAGTGGATTTTCTAGATTGAATACATGGAAAAAATATCAATGTGATATTTGTAAACTATTTAATACTGATGAGGAGGACGAAGATAGATCATCAGTAGCATTCAACGGGAAAAATGAATGGGAACAGCATTTGAATAGTAAATGGCATAAATCTAGCATTAGACTGAAAAAAGAAATTGATGAAAAATGGAATGGTGAATTACCAGATTGGATAAAAAAAAGAAAAAACAGAAGGAAGAAAATTTGAAAATTGATTTAATAAAATTATTTTTAGATAATTTACAAATATATCTATATATACTATTCTACATTTATTCACATATAATTTATATGTGATTTATTTTTTATGTTGTCTTTAATCTTTATTTAATTGATATCTAATGTTTTGTAATCTACTTTTTCTTGTTCTCATCATCCATGTCTCCATCCTTTCCACCACTGTTATTGCCTTTGGCATCTTTTAATTCTGATATTAAATCCTTTAGTAGGCCTTTTAGTGTAACAACTTCTGAATCAATTTCTATGATTTTAGTATTTAAATTTTTAGCTAATTGATTGTTTTCTTCAAATTTTATTATATTTCTTATAGTGATATCATTATCATTATTATTATCATCATTATCACTATAATTATTATTATTATTAACATTATTATTAGCATTAACTCCACCATTAATACTACCGATGCCAATATTATTGCTGTTGTTGCTGTCACCAGGAATACCACTACCAATTAATTTTCTCTTTTTAAAGTTCCATAAACTATTTTCATCAGGCCTTAAATCTTTTTCATCAAATAAATCTACACTGTAGAAATCATTCTTACTCTCATATTGTTTAAATATACAACCTCAATGACCTTTAGATTTCTCCTTCCACTAATCAAAATTATCACTATGACCAACATAATGTATAAATTTTGGTTCATTTGGCATTGGCCAAAAATAAAATTTCTTGATTTTTAGTCTACAATCATTTCTGTTTTGAATCAAAGACATGCATATCAACCTTTTGATGCTGCTTCATTAAATATCCCATCATTAATTAATTAAAAAATGATTAACATTACTACCAGTATAATAATAACATTACTACTACTAATAATAATTACTATGAATGACATACCTCATGAAAGCAATAAACATATTTTGTATAACACTAACCAACATAACACTAGCAATCAAAGATAAAACTTTTACAGCCAAAGTATTCCACTGCCTTCTCTCCACCCATAAACCATCCATCCAATATGTTGTTTTAATCACTGTAAAAAAATTAGAGAATGGGTTATCAGATGATGAATTTTGTCAAAATCTGTTTTTAATGACATATTTAATGGTTCATTCGTTGAGGTATTGTATTCCATATATGTATTTATATATTTGGTTCATAACCAATTGAAGTACTTCCTCTTGTCCATTCAGCAGTATAAATTGAAGTAAATCCATCTCCTGTCAACTTTGTTACTTCTTCAAATTGCTCAAAAGGCATCCATTCTAAAATTTGGTTTGGCAAAGATGATTTCATTTGTCATTGTTGAATAACATCATCAATTATGTTATTTCCAACCTTCACAGAATCTATCAGAGTATCTTGTCAATTTACATTTGTTATATTTTTCCCTTTTATCCTTTGTATTATCTAATTCAAAGTTATAGATAAACCTTTTTTTACGATATTCTTTTTCATTTTCGGCAAGCTCTTTGTTTTTCTTGACTAATGAAAAAAAATAATCTTTCATATTTTCTCTATCAGAATTAACATTAGCATTATTAAATATTTCATTACTTTGTATTTAATGAATAGAGTGGAGAAAATGGGGGTGTTTTTTTTTCTTTTTGAATTCTTCTGTACTTTTTTTATATTATTGTCATTAATGACCGAATATGGGACTGTCTACAGCAAAAACCACCTCCGAGCTCTTTTGACCAAATTTGTGTTTTTTACATAATACCATCCTGTGACATGTAGATTATAACTTGTGGCCAGATATTTTTTTAAAGTAATTTGCGTGTAGAATGAAATTGATCTACATACCCCATTTTTTATTGTTACACGTAATAATTTAATATGATATATCAAAAAATTGATTTATGTCCCAAAAGATAAAAAACAGGTATTATTTGAAAAAAGTCAGTTGTGATGATTATTGATTTGCCATAAAATTTTAATATATTTACTGGAAATAATGATTTATCATTATGCTAAAAATTATATATACAACTAATTTTAATGAAAAAGACATATTTTGTCAAATATTATTCATCAGGAAATTTTTTCTGATGCAAATTTATGTAATATTATGGGGCCCGCCATAAACTTACATAAATAGTGTAATATTATGCAAAAATTGCACAAAAATTACACAATTATTACATTCAGTGTAAATATTATGTCCTTTTTATGTAAAATATTACAACATTTCATATTAAAACTTATGGATGTAATATTACGGTGGGAAAAGTTTCCTGATGTTATTATACAAACATTATTTGTCACATAATAATAAATAATATTATGTGAAATGACTAGTATGTTCAGTAGTTGCTTTTTTCTTCTTTGGAGTCTACCAAGGATCATGAACATAATTAGTTAGAGAATGCATTGGTTTGATAGGAATATTAACATCATTTTTAAAAATTCTGTCAAATTCATTATGATTTGTCTCCAGATCATTTACTGTTTTATTAAATTCGTTATACATACCCTATTCAAATAGTAAAATTAGACACATAAAGGCCTACAATATGGTAAAGAGGAGAAGAATAACAGAACTTACCATTACACACTTGATTATTCTTATTGCCAAATTCAACTTATTAATTTGATTGATCCTAGTTGGTAATTGTAATTTTAAACCTGGGTAAATAACATAAAACCCATTTATCAGACATTGTACCAACATTTGACCATTTACTCCAGCAAATTGAATATATGGAACTCTTGTGGCTCGTGTCTGATCATCTGTCAAATCCAACCTCAGAAATCCATTAAATATGGATTGATTTACTCTTGCAGATCAGCAGTGATCAGTGATAACTTTGACATCAGTTGCATGAGCTGCAAATTCCCACTCACCTAAGTCTTTTCCTGTTGAAGATAAAAATCTTATGTCACATCTATGCAGGGTTGGCAAATTGACTGGTCCATTGAGAACTGATGGACTTTGAGCTGGTCCATTGCCATTAATAAAATATTAAATATAGTTAAAATGTTACACTAATGGACCCTTGGTGTAACTTTGTGATCAGCTTGGTGGACAAAATGACTCTCCACTTTGTATTTATATAAATGAAAATAATTTGTAAAAACTGAATGATTGTGCTTAAGGATACGGTCTAGCACGTGATCATTTATTAGTAAATCTAATTCCAAAATTTTTGTCATACCGGTAACCAAATA